TCAGGACACAGCAGCTCAGATCTTCCCAGCACAATGCAGGACTGTTCAAGTCTGTGCGAGCTGGCCGCATTGAGAGAAAGCATGCACATCGTGGGGCTTGATGTGCATAAACCCCCTCCAGGGCCTTCCCTTCACACTGCAGAAGAGACACAGCCAGGAGGTGCTTGGGAATGTGGAGAAGAAGGGTTAGGTGGAACAGGACATGGCTTGGGATCCACCTTCTGTCTCTACACTTTTATGCTCAAGTAGAAGGGATGAGTTTCACAGCAGCATCCAGCAATTTGTAGGGGAAAAAAAGATGGAAGGTTTAGCTTGAAAGCACTACATTTCCTTTCTTCTTTCACTCCCCAGAACACTCTGTTTATTTCGTTTTCAGAGACTGTTTCAGACATTGCTGGGAAAAAGAAAAAAGGGTTTTAAGAGAGAGCTCAGATGTATTCTTTTATGCGACACATATGAATAATTCAATTTACTGCCATCAATAGCTTGGGTTTCTCTAAATAAGCCATCTATCTAGGGGTTAGGAGGAAAACTAGCACAAGTGTAATATGACAAATGATGTTTCTGGATAAAAGATGGCACTGCATTTACACATGAACTCTAACAGGAGTGTTTTTCAGCTAGCAGCTCACATAATATTTCACTGCCGCCAGATTTGACAAGTCGTCTGTCCATTAGTTGTGGCGTAAAGAATTCATAAGATATTTATAAGCATTCCAGAGATACCTAAATAGGGAATCATTTGATTTCAGGGATGGGCACTGAAAAGAGAAGTTTAAAGCTTTGACAGAATGAGCAGCTTCCTGCTTTCATGCCTGGTAATTGCTGGAGCAAAGTGGGGCTGTATATGCTAATGAGAGCTGTTTCAGAAATGTTTTTCTCTCCAGACAATTATGATTTTCATAGGCAGTCTGAATAACATTACACCAAGACCTGAGGAACACTGCTATTTAAAAATAATTAAATAAATAAAAGGTTAAACACAGCCACGTTGCTGCAGCAATGTGCAGGACCCCTGCTTAGGATGTCCCCTGCTCCTCTGCTAGATCTCCCAGGTTCTTCAGAGTCACAGAATCATAGAATGGTTAGGGTTGGAAGGGACCTCAAAGATCACGTAGTTCCAATCCCCCTGCCGTGGGCAGGGACACCCTCCACTACACCAGGTTGCTCAAAGCCTCATCCAACCTGGCCTTGAACACTTCCAGGGATGGGGCATCCACAACTTCTCTGGGCAACCTGTTCCAGTGCCTCACCACCCTCAGAGTGAAGAATTTCTTCCTTATATCTAATCTAAATCTATCCTCTTTCAGTTTAAAGCCATTTCCCCCGGAGAGAAGGTGTCTCTTTCTAGGCACCTCCTTCTAGGCAACTTCTGAGAGACATTGGTGAGCTGGACAAACCCATCCTACAGCCTGGCTGGGTCAGCTCTTCAAATCAAAACCGAATCACTGTTAGTCAAAATAGCTGGTGTTTTTCAGAACTTTCCCTGCGGCAAAGTTTTCTGCAAGAAAACAACAACCTTTCTGGTTATCAAGAGCCCAGCTCTCTTCAAAAACAAAACCCTGGCAGAAATCCACTGACCAGCGGGGTCCATAAAAGCTATTTTCTACACGTGTCCATGGACTCCTGTGAGTATTGCATAAAGGGGATCACTACAAAGGGGTGAGCTAGATTTTTCTGGATTTCTGAGAAACTAAATACCCAATCCTGAAAACCACTAGGCAGGCACTTTGCAATAACATAGGCAATGCCAGAGAGACGTAGGGGAAGAGAAACGACTTATCTCCTAGGTTGTTCTGTCTCCCAGAAGGCATTTTACTGAGATACCTGAGTTGGGAACCCATTTGCCTTGCCCTGACACGTGGAGAGCAGGCAGTAACCCCCAGCTTTCAAGAGACAACAGCTCTTCTGCACAAAGATCCCCTCTTTGCTAATGTTTGTAAAATAAGGATATTTTTAGAGTCTTTTCCCAGAAACAAGTGCCAAAGTAGATATGTTATGACAAAAAACCCTTGCAAGAACTGAGCCCTGGTCTGCTCTTATACTATGCAGCTCCCATCTCTCAATGAGCTGTGGCATGACAGTCAATGTGGCAAGACTCTCAGCAACATGCCGTGCATCCTCGATGGCGGAATCGAATCATAGAATCATAGAATCATAGAACCATAGAATCAGAATCATAGAATCATAGACTGGTTTGTGCTGGAAATCCTTCAAGGCCCTCTCACAGTTAGGAAGCAAAACCTTGCACCTCTGCTATATCACCCTCTCACAGCTCTCTCTTTAACTTCTGCTCTCGGTCCTGGTACTAACCCTTTCCACTTCACTTTGGGTCTACCAGTAATTTAAAAAAGCATTTGCTTCTTGTCAGTAAATGTTGGGAAACAAAGCATTCTAGCGGGCCAGACTCGTGCTGCACGATTCAGGTGCTGTTTTTCTTATTTGGACAACTAATTTTTTGTAGTTAACAATCTGGCATGGTACCTTCCCCTACTCATTGACTGCTGTCCTCAAATACATTGAGAACATCTGGACATTCCATTCCTGATATCTCAACACATGAAGTTATGTCTCTAATGAATCTCTGTACTAGGCAAGCCCAAGAGACCCCCATGCATCTGGCCACATAGATACAGCATCTGTCCACATGGGAACCACAAGAGCACAACACAGCAGTCACCATTTTTGCTGGTCTTGTGCTGTCAAATGCATCTCTCCTCTCCTCCCCATCTTTCTGCACAACCGGCTGCACCTGCAGAATCTGAATCTTCTCGGGATGGAAGTTACTCCCCATGCCGAGACCCCTCGTGCTGCTGCTCAGCAGGTTGGTCATTTGGGTCTGGTTCATGGAAAAGGGTGAAAATTGCAGCATTGCACTCGGTTGGCCAAGTGGCACAGCAATGGAGACTGACACCGGGCTAGAAGCAGAGGCTTCTACCAATTCTAGCAATGCGTGTGTTTCCAGTCAGGCAGGTCCTTCCCCAGACCTTGCCTCATTTTCTGCTTCCTTTCTCCATTCTCCTTGTGGAGAAGACACCTCAATACACAACAGAGGATTATGCATGGGTGTGTACTTTGTGAATGTTGTCCTTCTCTGAGCACTCTGTAGGTGTAGGCAGGATGGCTGTCCATAAACCTCTCTGTTTATTAGCACAGTAGCACCCCACAGCGTCAAGGGAGGCTGGGAATCCCATGGTGCCAGATACAGTACACCCACTTAAGAAGGGACACGTATGACCTCAGGAGGTTACAGCCCAGAGAAACAGATCAGAAAGAAGGAGGAGTCAGGGAAAACGATGCACACACTGTCGCAGCACAGTACAAAAATTTGCAAAGACACAGGTAAAGAGACTCTCTCCTTTCTCCTCTTGAGATCTGGGGAGGGGAAGGATGAAGTTCCTTTCCCCACATCTTCAGTTTCACAGGTGGTTTTCTAGAAAAACATATTCTCTATGAAAAGCTGATCAAGCTCCTGTGGTATCACTTCGAAGAGACATCCTGATCAAGGGTTCTCCATTGCAAAGGCACATTAAAAATCCCACCAAGATAAGGGAAAATATTTTTGTTATAAAACACTTCTTCCTTGTCCTGCATGTGTTCCTGGCCTTTTTTAGCCTATTCTCCAAGAGTTGGCTAGAGAAGGTCTTGCTCGATTTGGACTGACAAGAGGGAGACTTTTTTTTTTTTGCTGCCTAAATGTCAGGCCAGATGTGTCAATAACACCATTAGGCAATTACGTGCCTGCTGCAGTCGCTTGCAATTACTACTGCAGGATTGAAACTAGAGCAAAAAGGCAGTAACTAGGGATTTTGTTTTGATTAAGAAAACGAGACTTCCCACAGCCAATTTTGAAACGCTGTAGAAGGGTGTGATTTGAGCTAACACCCTCACATGCCTCAGAGAGAAACTTTTTGTCTCCCTGCAGAGGCACTGAATACTGCATTATCGGCACACACTGGGAGAAACACCTCTCTCTCCCTACCTTATCAATACAAAGAGAAAAGAGAAAAAAACAGAATTTAGACTCTTGTGGGTTTGCCACCATGCTGATCACAGGGTGGGGCACTGGTATTACAGGAGGTGAAAATAGAAGTTTTAGGACTCGTTAGGTCTCAGTGGAGAAAACTCCTGCAACAGAGAAACACAAGAAAATAGTCTCTTATCTCACCTGAGACATGCAACAGTCTTTGCGAGGTTAGGAGTCTGTGACCAATGCTAGAGAGTTTTGGGATCAGAAGAATTATGTGCACCCTCCATTCCTACACACACTGGCAAACACAAATCTGGGTCATACTAGGACAGCTGGTTTCAGCCAAAACCAAAAGGATTTTTCAAAGCAAAAAATGCATCATTTAAGAAAGAAATAGGTTGATTTCCACAGTCTGCCCCATTTGGAGAAGAAAATGTATCTGACTTTACTGTGAGCAATCAATGAAGCACGGGCACCTAAAAGAAAACATTGCATTTGGGATCTAATGAAGTGTTTCACTCCATCAGGAAAAAATATTTTATTTCAGTGACATGGGATTCGTTGCAGCTTGAAACCCAAAGACTTTTGGGTTTGCATTCATTCAGACACAGAAATGTTTCGTGTTTGAGTCAGTATGCAAAACAATCTGCTTTATGCCCAGCTCAAGTCAGGAAAAGGTAAGAGTGTTGACCTGCTGAGCAAGACAAGCTCCATGTACGTGGACAGATGCTCCTGGCCCCGACCTTACACAGCATTTAAGCACATGGTTAATCTTCAGTTTCTGACCAGCCCATTCAGAGGTGGGAGGGAAATGCTGATCCCTGTTGGGGCCAGTGGGAATTTTGCCATTAGCATCCACAGAGTTGGGACTTTACCCAACAAATAAAGATGAGCGATTGCCCACTCTCCTGGCCGGAGGAGACAGCAACACAGCTGATCTCATGCAGACCATCTCCTGGAGAATGTATGCTTAACCCAGATACGCCCTCCTCCCCCCAGCCTTCCCCACATATCCCAAATGACATCTGACCTCTAGTTCCTGGAAATCCTCCTCTTCCTCCACATCATAGGAGAGAGTGTGAATCTTGATGTCATCCGCTGAGAGATCAATGAACTTGCTGTCCGGGTACTCCAGGCTGTCTTTGGTGGGGGAGCGGTCCTCGATAAAGGTGGTTTCACAGCACTCCGAGCTGATGCTCTCACCCCATGAGCGCAGCACGTTCTCCGAGTAGAGGATGATATTGGGCCGGTAGTGAGACTCCACCGTCTGCTGCAGCATGTTGGGGTCCAGGAGCTGCTGTCGTCCCTGCCGTTCTCCAGGCAGCTCAGAGAGGAAAGGCTGCCCGCTCGGTGGCTCTGGTACTGGGGGGTCGGGTACACAGAGACCAGACCATCTCGGCTCTCTGCCACTAAGTTCCTTGTATTAATTAAACCGTTCCTTTTCCCGGCTTCAGCGATCTTATTGTGCATTAGCACGCTGTTCTGCTCAACCAAGCCATCCATACTGGGAGGTGTCTGAGGGAGTGGGACAGGCGGTCTTTATTTTGTTGTACCTTAGAGGCAGGTCACACTGGGGCGGTGGCTCCCATTTTCCTGATGAAGAAAGGAAATAAATACCAAGGTGAAGACATAGGCAATGAATAACATACCAGAGCACCCATCAGCTTGTATTTGGTATCACCTCAAGAGGAAATACAGCCCCACGTATGTGCATACCCTGCTCTAGCTCTCCAAATATATTCCCACTTGGAGAGACAAAAAACATCACCCCAAATCCACGGGGTGAACAGGAGCAGATGACAACATGTGATGACAGAGGACTTCCTGAGATGTCTTGGTAATGATGTGCCCTGTCAGAGAAGGGCTATGATGCCACCTCCATCCTCCCACAGACACGCCTCAGTGATTCTGGGGACAATGTCCCATTCCTCTAAATACTCTGATAAGAGAGGTGAGGGGGGAAAATAAGATAAAAGAACTGTTTTCAGTTCTCAGAACTCTGCAATTACGAAGGGCAGACATCTGGTGTGTTCAGCTGTCAGTCTCTGCAGCCACCCCTCATGCTCCGCAAGTGCTTTGCTACCCTTTGAAAACCCGGCTGAAGGAAAAGAAGCAGGCAGTACTCTTTAAAATGACTGAAAAAAACCACCACCTGAAGGTGAGATCAGGCCTAACCCAGAGGAATTAAAACTCCTCTGGACAGGGTCCCAAATCTCCTGTGTTGCTCTGGGTGCCCTACTTCTTCCAATGCCTCCGAGGCCACACCAGAGCAACAGGTTGAAGGGCTGTGATGGGGCTTGTAAGTGTGACCATCCCCATCCAGATTCACCTGGAAGACATGGAGGCACAGTCTCTTGAGCCCCAGGAGCTGGTTGTCTCCTTTTGCACAGGAACAATAGCTGTCCTCTGTCTCACCAGACCACCAGCCCTGTACTGTTTTGTGTAAGTTGCACTAAGGCGTGAGAAACGAAAGGGACAGTTCAGAAGGCTACCAGTACCTTTTTCCAGCCCAAACACTTTGTCACCAGGACACCAGTTTTGCTCAGGTGCAGCCAAAGGAAAATGCTTTCTGAAACACTGATGTGTCCGCCATGGTAAAAATGAGCTCAGAGGTCAGTTTCTGGGCCTGACCATAGAAATCACAGAAACGCTCCTGGCTTCAATGAGCTTCATATCAGATCCTCTAAGGCCAAATTCTTAAGGTAGGATTACCTGTCCCCAGTGTGCTGCGTGGAGGAAAACAAGAATTACACATACAAACACACATACATATGTATTATTTCTGCTTGATGCTTTATCTCTATTTCGCTTTTATATCAGAGATGTTCTAACAGACCAATGGCTAGCACAATTTTTATTTCCTCTAAATAACTCCAGACATCTGCAGTCTTCCTTTTGGCTTGCAAGAGATATCTAAACCACTCCTAAGAGCTGGTCGTCTGTTCTTACACTATGAATGAAGCAAGAAACTTGTTTAATGTACAAGAGAGCTTAACATTGCTTGTTGCAATGTTTGCATTCACAGCACTCGGTTTAACATGCAGAAAACCTGTTTTATTGTGTTGTCAAATAGTTCAGAGCTCGTCCTAAGTGAACTGGCAGGAAAGCTGCACAAGTGAAAACACACCATGGTGGGATCTCATGGAATTTACACCACACGGCTCTCAGCCCCAATCCTGGTCTGGAACCTGCTGGCAAAATTAAACCAATTTGCAGATTAACTCAGAAGCTTGGACTCAGTTTCACCAAAGAATTAGTCTCAAAGCCCTCAATACCTTTGTAGCAGATAAGACTGAGAGGAGGTACTCTGCCTTTCCAAGGAAAACTCATTACTGTACGCAGCTACGCCTGTGCTAAACAAACAGAGGATCATGCCCTCTTCCCACTTCTGGTGGGGTGACATCAGCTTGTGTCAGCACAGATGTACTGGTGCAAGGTGGAGCTGCTTTCTCATTCAAATTGGTGCAAGGTGGAGCAAGCCAAGTTAATCAAGGAAGAGTTTTGGTCAACGTGTCACACATTTGCCTTAGAACTGATGTTTGCAGAACCAGAGTCATCTATCCACCGCTCTCCACTGAGTGCTGGCAACCTGCAAGACCTCCTGTGGGCTGCTAAGCTGTCCCAATTTTGCTGTTTAGGAGGCTTCCGAGACTGAGTGGGACCCAGTCACAACCTCAGTTGGGGAACACCCACTGCTTTACTCAGGTCGGGTGGGACCACTTAGTTAGGAGATGATTCTGCTGTGTCTCTAACAGCTTCCACATAAACTTTCCCCTTCTTCCTCCCATCCCCCCCCCCCAAATGTCAGTACATCACCACAGGCAGAATCTGAGAAAAACTCAGCAACTGAAGAGTGAGTTCTCAGGAGACTTTGCTGTTTCCCCTGATATGGCTTGAAAAATGTGCAAGGCTCCCTGACATGTGACACCAACCGTCGACCCCACTGAAGTCTGAGAGACTTCACCCAAAACTATAGATCATCTCAGAAGCATTCTTAGCTCTACCATTTGTCTAAGCAAATGGAAGTGGTCAGCAGAAATATGCCACAGATGTGGTAGAAATTGGAAGACGGTGTGCAAATCAAACAGGTGCCCTCCCAGAAAAATGGATGAAGAGGTCAACAGTTGGTCACTTCATCAAACCTAGATCAGATCACACAAGAACGTGTCC